AACAACCCTTACAAACACCCCAACAATTCACAACTATGCCCCAGCAAACCTCTACTAACTACCAACTATCCTTTAACCACCCTGTACGTGCTTTGTAGGTTCTTTTAATTTGTAACCGTAAATATAGCAAAGATACGTAATACTTTCTGTATAAATAAAGTATGTAAAGAAATTACTACGGTAATTTCAAGAATACTGTATGTACAGTATTGTATACAATATTTATTTACACAAACTTAAAGATTTTGATGAGCTACCATTAATGTAAAAATGTTGAGACATTATGAAAGCATACAAATAATTCTTTAAATTCGAACAACTATGATACTATACTAAAAGTTATAAGAGACGAAGGGATCAGGTAGAAGTAACTTTTAAATATCTTTGAAAGGTGGTGTTTGTTTTATTAAAATTTTTAACCAGGGGAAATTCCCAGTTACACGGATCGACAAATATAAGTATACTGTTTACGCTTTTTTTTTTTTTCTTTTTTTACTAATCTTAATTCTTTTTTTCATATCGTTGACTTCTTTAGTGCCTTGTGTGGAAATGTCTTGGAGTCGTCGTCGTTACTTTTGGTTGATGTCGTTGTATTCCAGTGTAGTCCTCTCGTCGGCGTCGTCTCCGCCGATTACTGGTGCTCTGGTTTGTGTTTTTCGATGTAGTTCTTTGCTGATTTCGTCGTCGCTTACCGGTGCTTTCTTTTGACTGGTGTCTTCTTTTAGCTAGTTTCATAGTCTGCCGGCGTCGTCCACTGTGGGTATCGCATTTTGTTGGCTGATTCAGTTGTTTTTTGCATCATTGTATAGTCAACTCTTTCTATGATGAACTGACGGTTCTGAAAAAAAAAAAGTTTGTTATAGGAAAAATACTATGTTTCCATGGCAATTTCTATGCCGAATTATTATGAAATTTTAAATTTTTGAGATTGTTTTATCCAGAGTTCATCATATAGAGGTTCGTTGTATCCGAAGTCGATTGTATATTTATCGTCATTTCGCTTTGCTAGTGCCCTTGTCTTCGGTGTTGATTTCTGAGCTTAATTAGCGAATCACGGATTCGGTCTCTAGTGTCGCAATATATAAAAACAAATCTCGATGTAAGAAAGGTGATGGGACCAATTGTTAAAAATTTACAAAACTTTTTTATATCGAATTTATTATAGGCTAGTCTGGCTTCAATTTTTTTATATCGAATTTTAATTAGTTTTTCTTGCATTGAGGCTTATAAAATCGATCATGTATCGATATGCAATCGTGTAACCGGGGATTTCCCCGACAATACTCAAAATTTATGTTAGTATTTATTAAAATGCCGCAAATACAAATCGAAAGTTGAAAAAATCGTTAATTGATTAGTTGGCAACTAATCGATTGAACTTTTTAGATACCAACTAATCGATTAATTCAATTAATTAAATTTTGCAAAAAAAAAGATTTCTGCTTTCTAATTTTATATATAAAAAAATAAACTTCAGAATAGCTTTGATATCTTGAGATTAGCTTTGATATTATGTAAGACTTTAAAGACATAAAAATTTATTAATTTATTAATATATTTATCGAACTTTATAGATTTGTTTTTTATTATATAGTTTTAAAATGCCATCCGCTTTTAGTAAAGACCTTTACTAGTGAATCGTATATATGGTTACAGTTGACAAAAAAATGGTGTTATTACTTATTAGTAAGCCAATGGTATCGAGAGTTATGAAAAATATAATAAATGTATTAGTCGTATACTGGGCCATAGCGAGGAATTAATTGGCTCTTAAAGGATGGACCGCATGCGAAAGCAATAACTGCAATCCTGTGAAGCTGCCTAGATAATAGTATTAACGTTAAATTTGCTTCAGTATCGATATAATTATTAAATGTTACACTGTCCTAGGGATGTTATGTGGTCTGGCCTTAGACTAAAACTAGTTTGAACTCGAAAAAAATTCGTCTGCTCTAGGTCTTAAGACTGGACCGGTCTGGACTAACAAAGTCTTAAGAATAGAGACCATAATAGACCAGACCTAGACCAAAATAGACCAGACTGGACCAGACTGGACTGTTAACATCCCTACACTAATCTACATATATAAATAAAATGACAGACCTATCTATTTTGACTAAAGTATCTTTTCAAAATCTATTTAGTACTTGTCAAAATACACATCACAAAATTTATTAAAGTGCTTAGTAAGCAGTTGTTAAATATTTTCTAAATATTTAGCAAGTATTTATTGGGACTAAAGTATGTTGGGATATAGTTATAAATATTTATTACAAGTATTTATAAAATATTCAAAAATTAAAAATTTAATAAATATCACGGCTAATGCTAAATTTGGCTGATGCTAAATATCATATAAAAATTTGGGCCAGAAATTGCAGACCATATGTTAATTATAAAAATTCAAAACAAATGTCTCTTTGTCAAAAATTGCTGATTTCTCAAAAATCTTTATAAAAAACAATACTTTGCATACTAACAAAAAGTTTTTCTTGAACAATTTTACTATATAATCTTCTAAACTCTAACATTAATATAGATAATAACTCTAGCACAAATGAACTTAAAGAACTTTGTTATTGGTTAGAATTTGTTTTGATTTTTTCTTGATTAATATGTGATCTGCAATTTCTGGTCTAAATTTTCACATGATATTTAACATCAGCCAAATTCAGTATTAGCCATAACAATAAATATAAAATTTTATATTTAGCAAGTATTTAAAATTAAAAGTATTTTAAAAATATAAAATTTAAATACTTATTTAATATTACATATCAACCGATTTGGTTTGGCCCCAAAATTAGCCAATCATGATTGAGAATTATTTGTTGTTAAAATTTATTATAGAGTAAGTTTTTACAAAAATAGTTTTTTAAACTTACTTTGAATCCATAATTAAGTGTATATAATATTACAATATCTACATGTTTAATTATTGGCTGAAAGTAAGTTAAAAAGGTCATTTTTCTCAAAAATCACTTCCAAATTTACTCTTACCTATTATACAACCAATCAAACAATAACAAACCAATCATTCACTGTCTGAAAATACCTGAACACTTTAACAACTAGTGACAGTACTTTCATTATAGTTTAGAATAGCTAGTTTTTTTAGTATTTATTGCTTATTTATCTCATATAAAGACTAAAAAATATTTTTAATGAATATTTTATTTGTTATTCTCACATCACTAAATAGCAAAAGTTTATGTAACAGTTTATCAAAAAAAGATATTTAAAAATCAAATCGGTAGATATAATTATTTAATAAATACAAGCTCACAATTGTTACAACATTGTGATAATATATCCCTTAAATTGTAACAGGACCCTAAAGATCTCTGATACAACTTAGATCCGAGTTTATATAATATCAGCCAAATAGGCATATAAAATAGGCCAAAATTTAAAAATTTACTATATAAAAATGCAATGTTTGATGA